ACATGTGCTCTTATATAAAGTGGTATGTTTGCTGCTGTCAGAAAATGAAAATTATAAGTCATTATAAGTTATTCTTTCTTACTTTAGTGATTATAGAATTCAGTCCAATTGTTTTAGCTAGAGAAATGTGGGATGTGAAAGTACTTGCCAACAGAGAATGCCGTTTGGTGACACTAGAAATAAGAGCACATGTACATATTTGACGGGAACAGAACTCTCACATTTTCCTTTTCAAATTATCTTTCAGGGTTTGGAGAACATTGACTAAGGAAGCATTTTCCTGATTGATGAAAAAATAACTCAGTTGTGCTCATCTATCCCTCCTAGAAGGTTATGCAGTGTATTGTGTAATACGTAATAAAAATTAAAAAGTAAAATTAAAGACTTTCTTTATTTTTTAAAATATACCTACACAAGATCAAGCAGTCTACCTAAGGTAGCTTTATCACTTTAAAAAAAAAAACTAGAAGGTAGCTGAGCCTTGTAAAATTATAGATATAATGTATACAAGCACCTATCACTGTGCCCAGTGCCTAATGGGTCATGAATGGTAGTTGTTGCTATTGTAATAGATATTTAAAAATTTTTTTTCCTCGTTCCTTTTCTGGGTGAATCAAATAGTGTTTAAAATTCCAGTTAGGCCTGGCTTGGCGTGGCTCAGTGATTGAGCATCGACCTAGGATCTAGGGGATCGTGGTTCGATTCCTGGTCAGGGCACATGCCCAGGTTGTGACCTCGATCCCCGTTCAGGGGCATGCAGGAGGCAGTCGATCAATGACTCTCTCATCATTGATGTTTCTGTCTCTCTCTTCCTCTCTCTCTGAAATCTGTAAAGATATATTTTTTAAAAATTCCAGGTAGGATGCTTTTAAAACAGACTGCACCTTCAGCTTTCATGCATTCTGTATCTAACACATAGTATTCGCTTAAGTGTTGATTTTTGTTTTAGTGGTAGAGCAGCAGCACTCATGTTTATTAAAGCGAATATACTGAGTGCTTGAAATAAAGCATTGCATGTTCACTGCTAAAAGTAACCACACAATATGAAGATCTGAAAAGGCAAAAGTACTGTAAACATAGCCATACTCAATGTGTATAGATCAACACCCCAGGTGACCATCGGGACGTCTAAGTGAGAAAAGGAAATTGTTTTTCATCTCCATTCTTTATCTACTTGGACGTTTGTTCTGCTGATGACCTTAAACACCTGCACTGTGTGGTTTTCATCGACCTCATCTTACTGGGCAAGGCTTACGGAGCAAGGAGGCGGCATTCACATTCACACTCTATACTGTGCTATCCTGTGATGATGAAAGTCTTCAAGGAAAGCATGGTCATGACTACAAAGTTAATATAACCTCTGGTCTACATTTAGTGCTGCACAGGCCTCACTTAGTTGATAGTTATGAGAACTATCTGGAAAGGAAGAAAGAGGGCAGGTAGTACAGACAGAGATATAGGAGACTTATTGACAACATTACTACATTTGTCATTCAATCTACTGAGTTTTAGGTCTGTCTCTCTACTGTTCCTCTAGGCAGAGACCATCCACTGTTTATCTCCTTAGGTGGGTGTCAGGGCTGTATAGTGAAGGGCTACAAAATGACAGAAGTTGGTTGGTCAAGTTCAACATTAGGGTCTGAGTTCTTCACATCCCTTTTGTGGCACCTGCTATGAAATGTAGCCTTATTTTTACACTCGACTGCCCAGGAATGAACTAGATTAAAGCACTTTGAAGCTAGATTACCGTGGTGTTTGTAGCCTGCATTACTCTTGATTGTTTGCAAGGGTGATTAGCCAGAAGGGTTTTCATACAGCAACTCTGACAGATGTCATCCAGCCACTGACCTCGGCCCATCAGCCACCTGCTCTTAAGGCCAGTTGAAATGGGAAACAATGCCATTCATTTGGTTGTATTCACTATTTTTAAAAAATATATATCTATTGATTTGAGAGAGAGGAAGGGAGAGGGAGAGGATAGAAACAGCAATGATGAGAGTCATTGATCGGCTGCCTCCTGCATGCCCCTGACCAGGGATCGAAGTCACAACCCAGGCATGTGCCCTGACCAGGAATCAAACTGTGATCTCCTGGATCCTAGGTCAATGCTCAACCACTGAGCCACGCCCAGTGGGGCTCACTATTTTTAAATCGATACCAAATTCACATAGTTCAAAAGTCTAACAATAAGATACTCAGTGAAAAGACTTGCTCCAATCCCCTACCCAGCACCTGCCCAATTGTCACACCACCAGGGAAAGGTCTCTTTATGCATGTGTAAATACTCATATTCTTTAGTTTTCCATAATGCAGAACGGTCCTGTTTGAAATTACATTTACCAGGCTGCCATAATTATTTCTAGGACCAAGTGAAATAGTCAATAGGAAAAGACTTTGAAAAAGGTTAGAGGAGGCTTTGTGCATTCAGAAGGGGGAGGAAGAAGATGGCCCTGCCCTTTGGGAAACATTTTTAAGTGAAACATTTATGAAAAAAAGGGAACATTTTACTATCAGCAATTCCAACTTATAAAGACCCTTTGACAGTCCAAATTCTGATGCCTCAGATGAGGAAACAGAAGTTCAGGGGTGGGAAGCGATCACTTAGCTAGTGGCAGAACTGGGACTAGAATCCTAGTGTTTTGACATAACCTAGTGTGCTTTCAACTGTTCTTTGTCATTCACCTCAATAAACACTGCTGAGTAAAGGCTACATGCCAGGCACTGTGCTGCAGATTTTAATACGACGCAGCCTTGCCCTTCAGGAGCTCACAGAGTGAAAGACAATTACAGGACTGGGTGATGAGTGCCAGGACAGAGATTTCCAGAAGTTGCTCTGGGAGCAGAAGTGGAGCTTGACTCAGTCTTCCAGTTGGGGGAGGGAAAGGGCTTAGGATAGGTTTCCATGTGACACCCATACCAAGCCAAATCTTGAAGGTTGGGTAGAATTTACGAGATAAACAACTGACAGGAAGACATCACACAGAGAAAACAGCATGGGTGGGGACAAACTAGCATGGCTGTGGGAACGATCTACAAACAGCTGTGCAGAGCTAGAGCAGAGATTGTGAGGCAGGAAGTAGAGGGACAAGGGACTGGAGAGATTGGCAGCCTCTGCAGAGGAAGCAGGAGGGTTGAGATGGTAGTGACTTGCCTCCATCTGTCCAGCTGCTTTAAAGGGGATGGACTGAAGCTGTGGTTTTAAAACAGGGTGAGTTTGTCCCCTAAGACACATTTGGAAAGTTTGGAGACTTATTTTTTCATTGTCACAACATGGGGAGTTGGGTGAGGCATTCCTGACATCTAGTGGTTAGAGGCCAGTAATGCTAAACGTCCTACAATGCAAAGGGCAGCCCTTCCCCAGGACAGTTTTAGGTAGCCCAAAGTGCCAATAGTACTGAGACAGAAACCCTGAAAACAGTAGCAGGGCCTCCATCAAGGAAGAAACTAGGAAGTGGTTTTTAAAATTCTTACTTATTCAGGAATCTAGGGGAGCAATCCCCTTTCTTCCTCCCACTCCTAGTTCTTTTTTTAATTAAAGTTCAGGCCCCAGGTTCTCCCTTGGCTCCTCTGTAAATCTGAACTTTGCCTCTTACCTGGAGGCATTTGTTTCCCTAAGGATGTATCCCAAACTCAATGCAGTGATGTGCCCCAGGCTGAGAAAGCAAAGAAGAGACCTTTTCCTTTCTGAGGAGTTGATGTGCAATGTTGGGAGGGTTGGGAGGACCATCACATCAGGAGGCTCCACCACCTGTCAGCTGTGTGACCTTAGGCAAGTCACTTCACTGCTCTGAGCCTCAGGTCTCCCATCTCTCAAGTGAAGATAGTATGTTCTCTCCATACTTCCCTGGGCATCCGAGACTGTCATGAAGTCACATATATGAAATAGTTTATAACTGTACAGCCCTGTGCATGTGGAAGGGATCATTGCTGGTGTTGTAAGCACCCCATAAACAGCTGTCCAGTCCACCCCCAAGCCCCCCAAAAGCACTTATCCAAATGTGATGTCAGGGGGATGCTTGGGCCCAGTGCATAGTTAAGCTGTCTTGGGTTCCCACCTAGAATAAGTGATCACAATTAAAGTACTGCATTCCCAGAGCACTGCAAACAAAGACAGCAGACAACACTAACCTCAATTGCTCTGAAGGTATTTTCCGAAAACAGAAAGGAAAAGCCTGCCTAATGCCACCGTGAGAACCGAGTGCCTGGTTACCCTTCTCAGCAGTGACCACTTGTTTTAAGGGAAGGTGGTGAATAGATGGGATTGAAGCCTGCCACCATACTCAACAGGAAGCTTCTGGATAAGGGTGGGGAGTGGGGTGAGAGTTAAACATCACTTGGTTTTTAAGATTTCATATCACTCTGATTCTTCTGTGACCTGAGAACTCAAATTAACCTACTATACTCTTGTGAGACACAAGACACATGGAAAAATTAAAGTTTTTTCCTTTGCCAAGTATCGATGCAGATTTTAAAAAACTGAAGAGACTGGTGCCCTAGCCGGTTTGGCTCACTGGTTAGAGCATTGGCCCATGAACTGAAGGGTCTCAGGTTTGATTCTGGTCAAGGGCACGTACCTTGGTTGCAGGATCAATCCCTGGCCCCAGTCAGGGTGAGTGCTGGCACTCAGCTTCCTGGTTTGGGTCTGCGTGCTTGTATAATGCTCCCCTCCTCCCCCACCTCATCCATACCCCCTAACCAAATATTTCACCCCTGAGGTGTGTACACTCTGGAATATTCTTTTGGGATGTGCTCTTCCTTGCTTTCCAGACAAAGCTGGAGCAAACCCTACAGCACACTGACTAGGGTTGAGACTATTCTTACAACCTACATATTTTGGTGCATTGTTGATAAAAGGCAAGTGAAGGAAATGTCTGTAAAGAATAAATCCAGCCCGGCTGGTGTGGCTCAGCGGTTGAGCATCGACCTAGGATCCAGGAGATTGTGGTTCGATTCCCGGTCAGGGCACATGCCCAGGTTGTGGGCTCGATCCCCATTGGGGGTGTGCAGGATAGCCGATCAGTGACTCTCTTTCATCATTGATGTTTCTATCACTCTCTTTCCCTTTCCCTTCCTCTCTCTGAAATCAATAAAGATATATATTAATAATAATAATAATAATAATAATAATAATAAAATCCAGAGCTCCGTTTGCATAATCTCTACTTGTCAAGGGTTTCTTTGGCATATCTGCGTATGCTCTGTGTCTGCTGCCGTGGCTGTAATAGACCTTCCTTACACCCCAGAGGCTCTTTTGCAATGAAGAGCCAAATCACTGCTTTTGGGATTTCCACACAATTTGATTTAGGGTTAGAGACCTAATTGTTCTTTTCAAGGCATCACTCAGAAAATGGCCTAGCCGATTCTTCCCTGTGTAAACCCATA